ATTATAAACGAAACATTTATGGTAACAGTTTAAAAAAAAAATCGAAGAATTTCTTACAAGTGCATAAAAATCTGTATGTCGGTAATCAGTAAATCGTTGGAAACGTTGGACGAGAAGTGTCTAATTGAAACGACGACGCGATTCCCACTAGAGGCTAATCTCCCATGAAAATGATACAGTCGCGTCCCGAGGGGTGCCGGGTATCAAACGGGCTCTATATTGGTTCACACCCTCCCCGAACAGGCTTACGGGTCGGGGCACAAAAGCGTATTGTATGCTCACCAGGCCGGGGGACCTTGTCGTTGTACATTAAATTAGCGTGTCTCTGGGCCACCGTGGTATTTGCCACTTTGCCCGAAGGCTAATCAAAATATTGTTGGATTAAACGGTGAACCGAGGAGCTCTATACTTCCGATGTTACACTGTGATTTCAGTGTTTCATAATCCTTTTTCTATCTCACTTTCTATATCTGTTTTAAAAATGCTTTGGTCATCCGAGAAACGAAATTTTATAAAAATGATAGTTACCATAGATTTTATTTTTTAAATAGCAACAATCTCTTTTGAAGATTGAGAAGTACAATCGAATTATTACTAAGTTCCTGTATTCGACTTCTTTCCTTCCATTATCTATCGATCAAACTACTCTAATAAAACAACGAGATATAAGTGGCTGATTTATAGAAATCAGTGATAGATATAACAAGTGTTAATTATTTAATTGAACCGAAATCGGAAATATCTTGCATCTCTTAATTCGCTGAGAGTACGCGGTCTGGGATGCGAGAAAGGGTAGCCAGGAATCGGAATCCTTATTTATTTAACACCGTACAATTGACCGGCATGGGCTAAGCAGGATCTAATGGTCGTATAAAAGGTCCTTGCGCCTCCCGTGCACCGATTGGCCCTGAGAGACAGATGTCCCTTCGAGGACAGATGCGTGTACCTCTCTCTTTCAACCCCCGGTGAATCGAGAATTGTCACGCCCAAAAAATCCAGCCTATCGCTCCTTTCACACTTTCTCCTCATCTCGTCCTTCTTTATATTCGTCGAATACTCGCGGCGCCGAGAAATCGGGGACCCTACGATTTCATCCCCTTAAATAAGGAAAGGGTGCACAGGTACAGAATCCGTTACAAGTATGAAAAACAGCGATCGTTCGAAAATACGAGTTCCAATTGAGTCTCTGAATTAATTCTAAAGGTAATAATTACGTTTCCTATCTGCTGGAAGATACCGTTTAGAGATTAGACGTTCTTTAAATTAATTGTTTCTGATAATATC